GGCTTACTTGGTCGCAAACAGGCCCTTCGAAGAACCTGGCGTATCATCGTGATCTTGTGCTCAGGATCGAGTCTCTCATCCAATGGAACACGTTCACGTGGGGGATGGCCAAATGGTCGGCCGCCTTTTCCAGCCCTCAGCCATCGATGAGTTGTCCTCAGTCGAGGTGCAGCACGATAAAGGATTGAGAGTCTGACCGTGTCTAGCTCGTTTCTGGCTTCCTGTTCGTGCTGTTACTCCTGTCATTCTACTGTCATTCTATATTTAATGCAGGGGCGAGGCTGAGCAAGCTTGGCTGCAGCATAGAGGAGGAGATCAGAGCGCCGCTCCCTCGATGCTCCCGCAGCCAGGACCTTTTTCTTACCTCCAGCACCAGGCCAACCAGTATACGGAGTACTTGTGTCCAGAACCGAACCCTCGCCAGGCCTCCTCGCACAATGTTACTGCTGTCGGCACCTGGTTTGTGATTATTGTTACTGGCTCAGTCTCGCCTTACGACCCCTAAGCTGCCTTCTTCGACGCTGCTGTACACTCGATGTCCTTGCTTGATACCGAGCATTTGTCGGCTGAGCGAGGATGCGGTTCATCGAACAATATGTCAGCAATAACGAGGGGTTTCAGCTTGACATCGTCGGTAAGTTTGTGTCCAGGCAGTGCAGCACAAAGTGGCAAGGCAGACCGCTGATACAAGTCCTCGACCAGGTTTCCTCGCTATCCTCGGAGAAGGTTCCGTCGAGACGATCGCCCAGGTTGCGACCTTGAGCTACCTCATTTACGTTCCTCGCCTCATACCAGCGCCGCAGATATTCATCAGGCCCTCGCGACCAGAGAAGCTGGAGACTACCGCCAATGCGAAAGTGATAGGAGTACATTCTGGTAACACCGGCGAGGATATCCATCACGTGGCTCATGCTCTCCATCGTGGCGACAAGCTGCCCCCGAACACCGTCACTTGTGTCCGCGTGACGGAAAATGACAAGCCGCGTCCATCCATCAAGAGGTTTGGTCCATTGGCAATGCTTGCATTCCTAGGAGCTGCGATGAGTGCTGGTTTGCTCGGGCTTTCCATATACTACGAGGATGGGATGTCCTTACTGGCAACAGTGCTTCTGTCGACCCTGAGCACAGTGACTGGCATTGCTAACAAGTGGTCACCGACACCGAATGATCCTAAGCCCGACCCACATTCACCTCCCGGCGACGTCGTCATCAAGTATCCTCAGGGAGCGTTCATCGTGGTAACCTGTGAAGAACGAACAGCACGATATCTGTATTTCAATCCAAGCGAGCGTTGCATTTATTCCATCAGGAGCACGGCGATTTATAGAGGACTTTCTTTGATTTCGACATTGTTGCTCATGGGCGGGGTCATTTCCTTGGCCAATGCCAGAATTGAGACACAAACGGCGTTTGCTGGATCCTACATGCTCATCAATATCTTTTACTGGGTTGGCGCTGCCCTGCCTCCAGCTCAACATTGGGATCTGAGCAGACTGCAGGTTGAGCATATCGAGGTCCATGGTGGTACGCCGCCACGGACCGCAAAGGTCGATAACTACTCGCCCACATACACTGAAGCATTGTGGAAAGCCATTGCGGTTACCGGCACAAGCAACTGGGTCAAAGAAGCAGGTTGGGCGCCAAAGACGCCTGCCTGGGCAGACTGGCTGAACGAAGCCGAGGAAGCCGCCGTGGGTGAGCCGCTGAAGGCGAGCAGGAAGATGGTGGACGGTAAAGAGGTGGAGGTGTGGACGATCCGTAATTGGGATAGTCGGAATGCATTGTCGACGCTTCTGCGGACGACGACCGACAGGATTACAACACAGTCGAGATGGGCTTCCAAAGAGGCTTCCATCCAGCGAAGCAACCCTCTATGACTGTTGCAGTGCTGGTTTGTGAAGTCTGCCTTCCTCAGCCACCAGCAGCATATTGAAGGGATGAACATTATGATGGCCGTTATGAAGAGATGATGATGATGATAACACTAAAAGCCCGGCATGACAAAAGACTAGATAACGCCAGTAATGAATTCACGACTTGATGAAGAATAATGTTGATGGTGACATCTCCGTCGAGCCTGACGCCCACCTTCGCCGCAACACCAGCTTGAGTGAACTCGGCGAACTCTTGGCATCACACAAACTTTTTTGCGGAGTTCATCAACCACCACTCATCTCCGCCTTCCACTCAATCCTCCTTGACACTCCATCGCTGCTTGAGACTCAGATAGTCTCCTACTCAAACTCGACAAGATGTATGAGCGAATCCCTGCATGTTGCTGCGGAATTGGGTCTGCAGCGCAAAATGCTGATTCGAGGGTGTTATAGTGTGCCGATTTGAATCTTGATCTGCCAAAGCTCTTAAGATGCCATTCACCAAGCTGTACGTGGACCATATCTCAAAGAGGCACTGACAAGGTTGAACCGTCCCTGACCCGTGCCTACCGCAGTGTCAAAAACTCCCCCTACTACTCCCGCTACCAGACGAAGTACAAGCGCAGACAGGCTGGCAAGGTACGTCGTGACTCGCCCGAGCCGTAGATTCCCACTGACAACTGTCCCAGACCGATTACTATGCCCGCAAGCGACTGATTGCCCAAGCCAAGAACAAGTACAACGCTCCCAAGTACCGCCTTGTCGTCCGCTTCACCAACCGCGACATCATTACCCAGCTGGTGACCGCCGAGCTCACAGGCGACAAGGTCTTCGTTGCCGCCTACTCCCACGAGCTCAAGAGATATGGCATCAACAATGGTCTGACCAACTGGTCCGCCGCCTACGCCACGGGTCTTCTCCTCGCTCGCCGTGCGCTCAAGAAGCTGGACCTGGACGAGCAGTTCAAGGGGGTCGAAGAGGCGACTGGCGAGTACGCTCTCACCGAAGCTGCCGAAGGTGAGGACGGAGAGGAGCGTCGTCCCTTCAAGGCCTTCCTCGATGTTGGCTTGCATCGTACTTCCACCGGTGCCAGGGTCTTCGGTGCGCTAAAAGGTGCCTCTGACGGTGGTCTCTACATTCCCCACAACGAGAAGCGGTTCCCTGGCTACGACCAGGAGTCCAAGGAGTTGGACGCCGACACTCTGCGCAAGTACATCTTCGGCGGCCACGTCGCGGAGTACATGGAGACACTCGCCGACGACGACGAGGAACGCTACAAGTCCCAATTCAGCAAGTACATCGAAGCCGATGTTGAAGCTGACGGACTCGAGGAGCTGTACACCGAGGCTCATGCTGCCATCCGTGAGGATCCATTCAAGAAGGATGATGACGAAGGAGACAAGAAGAGCAAGGACGAATGGAAGGAGGAAGGCAAGAAGTACAAGGTGCACAAGACGCCTAAGGAGGAGAAGGAGCGCAAAATCAAGGAGAAGATCGCGGCTCTTGCGTCTTAGACTAGTTGGTTGGGTCACCAGCAGAAGTCAGGAAAATGATCTCGCAATCTCGACAGAGATGAGTGCGGCTATGGTCGCCATAGACGTCGGAGATGCTGTCCCGGCTAGCCATGGTGTCTTCCAGCCATCCATGGTCCAGTATTGTGCTGCAGGAGACCTGGCGCATGGCACGCTCGTTCAGACCAGGGCAAACGGCCCGACTGGGAAGCGTTGCCGGGATGGCGGTCGTAGGGAGACTTCCACCACCCAAGGGCCGCGTGACGAGTCAGTGGGCCGATGCCAGAAATGAAGTTCATGTCTCCATGGGCCAAATGTAGTCGAGACCCCTTAGTCGGCAGCAGTTGGGCTTAGAATTGTCCTAATCCACGGGAATTCGCACGAACTTCAGGGATTTCTGCACATGGGTTGTGGAAAATCGGTCCTTGACAGATAATATTTTCTGAATTCGAATCCTACCTAGTACGCGTAGAAGCGTCTTGATTTGCCCAATGTAGGCCTCGAACGGGTGTTTATTGGGGCGTCCTCTGACATAAGATGCTGACCTGAACGCACCACTTCTGGGTCCACCATTACTGTACCTGTGGGTTTACGAGGATCCAGGCCTGGGATGGCAGCCCTTCGAAAAGAGCGAGTTTCTCGGCCGGGTCCAAGTCTTAGCAGCATGAAGGCTAATTAAGCAATGGGGCGTGCCAGGGCACACCAGGGCACGCCAGGGCACACCAGGGCACGCCAGGGCACGGGAGGCCGCATGCCAGGCACCTTGAAGATGAGTGTGGCCTGCAGCCGGCATAATGGCACCAAGAGAACATGAGAGATATATCACAGTACGCAGCATTGAGGCTTGGTCGACGGGTGTTTGCTTGCTGCTTGTTGCTCCTGGGGTGCGCATTTCTTTTCCCAGCGAGGTCACGCCTTCGGCGGGTTAAATGGATCAGCGGGAGAGGCAAGCAGAGCATGAATGAGCATAAACAGGGACGCATGACCTCAGGCACAACGCCGCGTCGAATCCCGAAATCCCATGATTTCCTCCGGCGGATTGCCACTGAGAGTGCCTCCAGAGACATTACTACTGTAACTACGAGTAACCCTGTGAGGCTGTACGGGTTGGATCTTCAGCGGCGGGATTTTCGGTATTGCCTTTGGCGCTGCTGTGGTTTAAGATGACAGCATAGCTGCATGGCCCACTCTCAGGTGCTCCAGGTCGCCAACCTTCCCCTCTTAGCGATCTGCTCTGATATTATGAGTACCGATGTTTGGGCACCACGGCGATTGGAAGGATGAATTTCCAAGAGAGCTTTCGGCGGCGTCCACACAGTCACCCGGGCCGATTAAGCTGTGGCCATCTTAGTGAGCCTTCGTTCTAAGCACTGGTAGCTGCACCGTTCACGATCCAGCCCAAGGCGATCGTCATATCTAGCCAACCGAGTCCGCGATTCCTACTTTCGCTATTAACCCCGCCGATAACTCGCAGTCTATCGTCGTCCCCGTCCATCAGCTTCCAGTCGACGTCGCCGTCTCTGACAAATGTCCTCGTTCAAGTCAACATCTATGCGATAATACTAGCGTGCTTCTTTATAATTCTGAGGGCACTTACACTGTCGCCTCAGGCACAATGGCAGCAGCCACGGAGAGTAATCTCGATGTCGACTGGCTCCTGCGCTCCAAGAAAGGTGCGATATTACATTTTCGGCTTCCATGCCGCATCTGCCTCTCTCTCCGGTCCGAGATTCGAGAGGAAATAAAACGCTAACAAGCCTGTCAGACCTTGCTCACTTGGCCGCAGAGAGGAGCAGTCGACAGAAAGAGTCGCCAGCATCCACCGCACCTCATGCGAACCAGCCCGATCCTAAACCAGTCCAGGGCCAGCCTCGGACCGGGCAGACACCGTTGAAGGAGTCGCAGAATGGAGCAGGACAACCAACCATACAGCAGCCGAAGCCCGCCGTCACTGTCAATGGCAAAGAGAACAATGTGCAGCCCACTGTGCAGAAGACCAGCCCGCTCCCAGCCCAGCACACACAGAATCACCCGACGCGGCCTACCTTACTGAAAGGTCAAAGCACCGAGGATAGCAAGAAGGGTTTGAAACCAGGCACTCCAAAGAAGGAGGGAAGGAGGAGTTCATGGATTTCGAGCTTCAGTTCCAAGTTCTCGTCGTCCCCGACCCCGTCCCGGAACTCCAGCGTCGACGTGCAGCAAGCAAACAATGGCCTGACCGCATCGCCTCAGCCAAGTCCGAAGGTGGAAACGACCAACCCGTTTGAGAAGAACAAATCAGCGAAGGATGGGCAGAAGGAAAACAAGAAAGAAGACCCTAAACCTGTTGTTACACCTCTGACACCCCGGAGACCCTCGGTCCTGGTCGCTGCTGGAAAAGAAACCAAGCTAGAGCATCCTGGGTTCTTGTCAAGTGCATTGCGGAGGCTCTCCTCCTCTTCGAATGCTAACATGGGTAAAAGTGCTACCAACGGCGCCGTCTGTCCGCGGAGGATCATGAATGTTGACCATAACCGCGAGCGCATCAAGATCAGCGAATTTGACCAGAACAAGCTCAAGAGAGTGGCCTTCTGCGTTGACGTCGAAATCGCTGGGTTCTCTTCCCAGGCAGACGAAGAGCCCGAACACTTCAACAAACCGCCGGTCTCAAGTACATTGAAGCAGAGTGTCTCAACGTCACCTGACAAGGAACCCACGAAGGACTCAAAAGATGCCCGAATGAAGGAAAAGGGTGAAGGGGCTGCACTCAAAAGCCCGAAACCTCCGGCGGAAGAGAAGGAATCCTTAGAGCAACCTCGCCCCGAGCCAAAGCCTCCACTCCCCGAGGAGACGAAGGAGAAGGAAACGCAGGCTGCGGAGACCTCAGCCTCGTTACAAGGTCCGGACCCTCCGGCAGCACCGGGAACGCGCAAGAAAGAGAAAAAGAAGCGTTCAGAGGCCGAGCGGAAGGAACGAAAAGAGCGCAAAAGAAGACACGCAGAGGCGAACGGGTTGGTGCCGTTAGAATTGACTAGAGACGATGACGACTCAGATTCGATTTACAGCAGCACACCTCCAGGAGCCTCAACACCAAGCAAGCGAGCCCCGGAAGGTGGTGACGGCCGCACAACGGACCCTCTCCGGATATACAAACGGTGCTGCCAGCTCCGCGAAACCACCGTCCTAAGCCGAGTCAAAGAGCAGATTTCAAAACCCACGGCGACTCTGGCGGAAGCACCTGGCACGGTAGCAGTCATGGATCTCTCAGGTTTCCAGATGCAGCTCCCGGATATCGTCACCTTGGGCGACTGGCTCGCGGTGGTACCTGTCCGCAAGCTTGTGTTGGACAATTGCGGTCTCACGGACGAAGGTGTGCGTGTGATCTTGTCTGGCCTTTCCAGCTGCAAATCTGTCGAACAGGCCCGCCAAAACAGAAGATTACCGAAGAGACTCAGCGGAAAGCAGGGCAGAGAGCAGATGGGCGTGATAGAGAGACTGTCCTTGAAAGACAATCAAGGCATTACCAACCTCGGCTGGAGACATATTGCGCTGTTCATGCATATGTCGCGGTCCCTCAGGGCCATCGATCTGTCAGGTATACAATTTCCCAAGTCGACAGATCTCTCGCGGACGATTTCGACGACGAGCTCGAACAGCAGCGCGGCAAACGGAAACTCGACCCTAATGGACCTGGGCTCTCTGATCATTTACGCATTGTCCGAGCGACTAGGCGATAGGTTGGAGGAGCTTGTTCTCAGCGGTTGCGGTCTGTCCACCACCAACATCCGGGATCTCGTGGATTGCGCCATCAAGTGCAAGATCCGGAGACTGGGACTGGCAGCCAGCAATCTTGGTGAGGAAGGACTGGGCCACTTGGTCCGATACATGAAGTCGGGCCACTGCGAGGGCTTAGATCTCAGCAGTAACGACCTGCATGGCATTGCGCACATACTCGCAGAAGCGGCCACCAGTGATTGTCCCTTGTTTGCTATCAGCTTGTTGGACTGCAATCTGACGCCGGAGGATCTGACCTCGATACTGATCCCTTTCGCGCGACTGAAGAACCTTAAATTCATCGACCTGTCCCGCAACATGGCATTGTTCAACAGCACCCCGAACGCGGTGCCTGTCTTCCGGAAGCTACTCCCCAAGTTGGCGCCCTTGAAGCGTCTGCACCTTTCAGACGTTGGCATGACACCTGAACAGGCGATTGCAATCGCTGAAATCCTGCCGGATTGTCCATCAATGGCTCATCTCAGCATCCTTGACAATGCTCCGCTGGTACACAGCATGAATTCGAAAGAAGAAGGCTCGCAAGAGGAAGCTTGTGCATTTTTCGCTTCGTTGATGACAGCGGTCAGAGTCTCAGAAACCATTGTTGCCGTCGAGATCGAGGTCCCTTCTGCAGACAGCAGCGAAGTCGTCAAAGCCCTGGCCTCGCAGGTCATGGCGTATACCCTGAGGAATATGGAGCGCACAACTCTGGACGAAGTAGGCGTCAAGCCTGATGACCATGCCGAGAAGGCGCCGGAAGTTCTCCTACAGCTGGTCGGAGACATGGAAGGCTATTCGGAGACCCTTGATCGGGATGAGCTAGCAGCTGATGAAGACTACATGATCGCCTCCACGGGTATCGTCAAGGCTCTAGGTGTCTGCTTGGATCGTAAGGATGGCAACAGTCGAGCACATTCTAGGAACATTAGCCCTACCGCCAGTGGTTCTTCCACTCCAAGGGGACCGTTTCGGCAAGCAACAGTGTCAAAACCCCGAGATGTCAGCCTGGAGCTGTGTGAGAGTGCGAGGAAAATTCGGCGAAGGTTACAGCCCGTTCTTGTCAAAGAAGACCGGGCTGGAAACCATGAAAACTATCGTAAGTCTCCTGATCAAAGCTCATGGCTTGGAATTGCTAACCTTGGTATGTCAGGCCGCCTCTTTCTCCTTGATCAGACCCTTCAGCGCATGATCAAAAGGTTCGAGGACGAGTACCCGGAGACCAAAGTCGTGGCGGCCTCCCCGCCAATGGCAAATGGGATGCCTTCACCTGACCCATCAGTGGATGCCTCGCTGCTATCTGCCTCGATTGATTCGAGTGGAGTCATGAAGGTGACCGATGCAGAAGGATACTTCCCCTCCGAGAGCCCGCCCAAAGATGATTACGCACTCAAACTGTCCCGGACTTCGTCTAACACGTCACTCGCGGCCAAAGCATTCACGGATGAAGAAGGCCGTATGCACCGCTTTGGTCAGACCATTCGTAGGGAAGTCCTTAAGCCGACAGAAATGGACGATCATCTGCACGGAACCCACGCGAGTGATTCTGATCCACCCCACATCGCTGCCTTGCGCGCAAAACTCGAAGAGCTCAAGGGTGAGGACATTCGATATAGGGTGGAAAAAGAAGGCGCTGACAACGTTGTCCGGGAGCTGGGTATCAATGCGCAAGAGCTGCTTATGCTGAGGGAACAAGATCCCAAGGGCTTTGAAGCGTTCAGGGAGAGCCAGTTGGCGGCCCAGATCAATGCTGGGCTGATACCCCGGGAGTGAAACGAGGAGGTGCGGCCGTGATCAGGAAGGATGTGGCCCTTACTGCCATCTGTGGGATCGAATTTGGGACGTTCACAATTGATTATGTGTGGAGCCGGACTCTGTGTACATCGACTTGGATGATTTGGCGACTGATGGTTTCGGCTTTTGTGCCTTGTGAGCGTTCTGTTTCGCCCAGCATGTTTTGGGGATGATGTTATGACCTTTCACCAGGAGGCCCGAGGGTAGCATGCCCAGCCGGTCGCTTGGACATTATACCTTGAAGCTAGGCCAAGCCTCTTTTTGGACTACAGTAACAGTAACAGTAACAATCGCAAATGAGGTTGCGCGTCTCCCGGCGCGCTTCGCTTCTATGGTGGTTTGTTGTCCCACGCGGCTGGTGACGAACTATCTGTCTGAACGGACAGGCCAAGAGGCACTGCGGCCTCGCGGCGACGCCGGAGCGGACTCTGGACACGACAATCTACCATGTGTAGCGACCTACTCCGTACTTACACGTAGTCGTTCACGGCATGTGGGTGGTATGGGAAATACATATGTGGGCTACGTAGGATGCCTTATAATCTTGCTCAAATGGGGTCGGAGACATTCGACGGAGAGAGGAGAGAGTAGAGAGTAGATGATAGTAGGTAGACAGTAGAGAGTAGAGAGTAGAGAGTAGAGAGTAGAGAGTAGAGAGTAGAGAGTAGAGAGTAGAGAGTAGAGAGTAGAGAGTAGAGAGTAGAGAGTAGAGAGT